TGTGGAGTGAAATAATGCTCAGATTTGTTGTTTCTGCCTTTCATCAATTAGGATCATCTAACAAATCTTCAGTTTCAGCCTTTCTTTGTTTCTTCTTTTGCTGATGTGTCGCTGGCGTCAAAGACTTGCTTTAGCTGCCTGTGTCCAAATACAAGCCGCAGGCAACTTAAAACAAGCCTCAGAAGCTAGCCTGCATGAAGTTTTGCAAAATCCAGCAGGAAATATACATCCAAGGATCATCCATGAAGTCAAAAATCCACTGAAATGTATTTAAAATTCACCAAAGATCAAGAAATCTAAGGATATTTGTTGTATACTCATCTTCTTTTGTCACAAATCATCTGGTATGGAGGACCAAAATTATCTTATAATGACAGTTTCGGTCCTCCATAATCTGGACTATAAAAAGAAAAAATGCAAATATTCATATAGATTAATAATCTATTCWTGCACATTTCACATCAAACCATGTATTACAAGTTTGTTATTATAAAAGTTTAAACAATAAGAATTGTATATGATCAACCATTTCTGCAAACCATAGTAATAAAAGTTGAGTTCAGGCCTCCCTTGTCATAACTTACCTCTGCTGCCTAACCGGAGCTCCCCGCACGTCTCAAGTGTCACTTCTCCCTGCGAGCAGCTGCTTTAATCAGGGTGTAGAGGAATGTATATTTGAGAAAGGTGTGTGTGCACAGTTACACATTTATCAAAAGATCCTGTTGCGTTTTGGGTGTGGGACAGTACGCACAGCGAAGGCTGCTGGCTGTGCAAACGTGGAATTTCAACGTCTTGAACCAACAAGCTGAGTACGTATGTGCGGCGGTAAACACACTCCAGGATCCCGGAGCGTCTAGGATAAACACRCTGGTGTCATGTTAGAATGAACAAACACAAAGTAAGCTACAGTTTCATCCTTATGGAAGAGTCAGAGTAAGAACTGTCGTAAAGAGAAGAYGGGTTTTAGGTCACCTGTTTCTGGTCAGGATCTCTTTTGAATTTTGTGTTTTAAAAGCAGTTTAGAATACACACACACACATAGGAAGGATGAGTTAAAAAAAGAGCTTTGATCCTGTGTTTTATWCAGAAAAACACACGAGCATGCGCACAAAAAACTACTCTTATTCAGCTTTTCCTCATTACATCAACTTAATTTTTTCGGGACATTTCTTTAAAAATTGCATGTTGCAAACAGCCTTCCACATCAGCGTTTCAGGACATAATGAAGTTGTATTATGATGAACCTTGATAGTGGGTGTAAAACAAACTTTTCTTCAGTTACTAAAGTTTAATTTATTTTAGATTTTGTTTGGAAGGGACAATACACATTAATTGACATTTCTGTAAATGTGCCAGAATTAGCCTGTTATATTGGACTTGCTAAAAGCAAAGCTTTAAAATGGATCAGATACATACATTTTGTCCATTCAATAAAATACAATCATTACAAATGGTAAACACCAAACAAAAGATTTTAAATAGATTACACATGGTGAAAGCTCCGATTGTATGAGGGACAGAGCTCCACTCCCATGCAGCTGCAACTGATAACTTCCTTAAAAGTGATTTTACGGAGAAGAACAATACGATCATCACAGATCGCCCCTCTCATTAATTGATTTTTGTTCCTTATATTTACAAACTGAGAATGACTGACCTTTAACAATTTTGTACAGCAAACAGAGTTTTGAGTATTTAATAACATTTTCCCAACTTAATGGAARCTTTGAGTCCGGGTCTCTGCCATGTTCCGTGGGAGTTCCGCAGGGTAGCATACTGGGCCATTGCTTTTCCTAAATGACCTTCCAAAAATATTGAAGTATTCAAGTATTTTAATGTATGCTGATGATACTGTTATTTTTTGTCTGATTTCAATATTGAATCTATTAATAGTCAGTTACAAGCAGATCTTCAGACATTTCATGGTTGGCTTCAAGACAATCTTTTGTCAATTAATGTTAAAAAAAACTGTGTGCATGTATTTTTCCTCACCCAGGAGACATTTCAATATAACAA